CAATGAATCATGGAACACTACATCAAAAACTAATATGTAATGTATGGTGATTAACATAACATAATAAAAAAAAAGAATTAAAAAAAAAAGAAAAAAAGAAAAATCCCTAAATGGAACAGACTACAGGACTCTCTGAATCTTGAACAGCTAATTAAGGAAACATGTTAAGGCAAATGAAACTCTTAATTATTTAAGGTTATTAAAAGTTAGACATAGTAAACTAAACAACATATAAAATATAATTTCAGTTAGGTATGGGGAAGAAAAATAAAGTATCTTCCTGAAGGCAAAGAGGTAGTCAGACCAAATTACCTAATAGTATTTCCCATCTAGTTGCCCAGTGCAGATGCCATTTTCTAGTTCTCAAGAGCTACATTTTGTCTTCTTGGAGTCAGAAGATTGTGACTATCCTTTGTGGTTTTTGTTGCCCATTTAGAAATGGTACATCTCACCTTAGCTGAGCAATCAGAAAGTCACCTAATTAAGTAAGAGATTTTAAGTATTGTAACACACCAATAGATTAATATAAACTTTCAGAATATTTCAAAAGTTAGATTTGAACCAAGGGAGAACAGCTAGAAAATAAAAACCAAAGCCATAATCACATCAAATGCACTGGTGTAAATCTACCTATGGGGTTACCATTCTCTCTTCTGGATATGTTTCAAGTATTTTATATTTTGAGAAGGTTGGAGGTTTATTTCAAAAGAGAATTTGATTACTGATTAAAAAGTTAACAAACTAGTCTCACATATGACTCTATAATATTCTTCTGCTTAACCACTAAACTTGCTTTCTTTTCCTCCCACTCACCTTATCCCACATAGGATCCACAAATTCCAAGTTAGAATCACAGTTCTCTGATATGCTCCCAAAGTGACAGAAAAGGATTTTCCTTCCCTTAGTTGAGTCAGTCTCGAAGGCAGATGGCTAATTCATTGCACCTGTAACCAATTAGCCATTCAAAACAACTGATTCTTCACAGTAAATTGTTGCCTTGCCAATCTGAGAAGCAGGTGCATATTCAATGGCTAAATAATCCAAATACAAAATTCTTTTAGATTAATGTGCAGAAAAATATGACCAGTTATAATAATTCCATTCTAAATTAAGAATTTAATTATTTCAGGTTTTGAATCACAGCTTTGAGAATTTTGTGTTTTTCATTCTGATATTTGGCTACCAAATTAAGCAGATGTTTTTTCAATGAAAATTAACTTTCTTTTTCAAAGAAGACTTTGAATTTTATTTTTCTTCTTTCTTAAAACAATGAATTTTGATTACAATATATGTATTGAAACATATTACATTATATAATAATACATTTAAATCACCTGCTTCAAAACAGTTACCTTTATATGGAAGATTTCACTTCCAGCCTAGGCACCCTATCTAACTCCATGGAACTGGGTACAACATAGCCACTCTTGTATGTTATACAATGAGAATCTCTGTGGATTATTCTCTCACTACAGTGCCAACGTTACAGACTTTCATAGGCTTGAACCATTTTATTCTAGGAAGTTATCCAATAAAAATTTTCAACTTTCTCAGATATATTGTTTGAATATGGAGAAAGGTTACAGTGATAATTTTTTTGGGTGGCAGATGCCTAAAGCACCAACTAAATATCCCAACTTCTGGCTTCTCTTTCCATCAGAATCATGGCATGATAAGGAATTACTCCCAAGAGGAGTATCAGACCCTATTTAGTTGGCACCAAGATCTTACATCTTCCCATCCCAGGAATCAACCTTGAACACATTTCTAAAGTTAATAAGAGATCTCCAAACACCTCAAGTGAAAGTTCTGTACAAGGAAGAGATTCTATGAGAAAGGAACTAGAACTCTGACTGCATCATTGTAGGACAGCATCACCCTCCTACCAGACACCCGGGCTGTACACTAGAGACACTTTCAATCCATAGCTCCCTTTTCACATCTCACATGTCTCCAATTGTTTGGATTGGATTGGATTGGATTATATTTTCCATATGTTTCCCATGATTTTCATTCCTACTGTCACTATTTTGATGCCCTTGTCTTCCAACTACTTATCCAATAAATGTGAATTAAGTATCTACGAGGGGCCAGGCACAAGAAAGAAAATGGTAAATGAAGAATAAGGTAGACAAGGTATCTGTTGCAATGGAGTTAATAGGTTGAGGCAGATACTGACAAATAAATCAACATTTACAGTTTAATCGTAATCCAGACTTGAAGGTCATGAAGGCTTTCCTGGAATAAGTGAATGTCTAAACCAGAACCTAGTGGTAAGCCCCTTCTCTAATTAAGCAAAGAAAGAGGGAATAATTTCCCATACAAGAGGAATAATCTGTTTCTTGTCTCTTGATGCTCAGGGTCAACCTTCACAATGCTGGCTTACAGATTTATGTCCTTAACAATACTCCAGCCCACGGGCATCCTCTGTTTATAGATTCCCTGTTATCTCCTGAAGAAATTACACACCTGAGATTAAGTTTCCAGTCTCATCTTCTCCAACAAAGAGTATGATAGTACAATTTCACCGTAGTATTAGTCCTTTGCTGAAAAATAGGAACAGTTAATCTATTTTCTTTTGTTGTTTGCACTATCTCCTTATACTGGAATGCCTCACACCATAATGCCTCTTCCATCACTTGAAACCCTACTTATTTTTAAACGTCTATTAAAATATCATCTTTTCTACATGCTTTCCGTAGCCCCTTCATTCATAATTAGTTGCTTACTTTTCTGAAATTCCACTGCCCATTCTTTGCCTCTCGATCATACTGTGCCTATTTTATTCTGTTCCATATGATAGTTCTTTGTTTATACCTGAAGCTTAGGCTATTCTAGCCTTGTGGAAGGCCCTGCCCCAGCCATTTAGAATTCCTACTTCCCATTCAAGTCTAGAAAACTTCTTCCCTGTTAACTGCTTTACTGCCACTTTGAAAATAGAATTTCCCACAATTTCCTGTCTTCCTGCAAGTAGCAGAGGTAAGTAGATACCAGACATTTGCAATGGGATTCCTCACTAGCAGGGTTCCCATTAGCATCTAGATTTTGACCTTGCATATGCTTTATTTCTCCTCTCCTGCCTAGTGCCCTAAGCTTCCTGGCATCACTTTTCCTTTCCACTCTCCAGCATTGTGGATAGACTCCCATTTAGAATAATGGCCCTTTCTGCCATAGGAGAAAGAAAACTCTCTTCCAAATATGACAGAGCTTTCAAAGAGAAAGACTTGCCTTTAAGAAATTCTGGATATTAAAAATCTTCTGAAGAGAGATTTTTTTTTAATGTAAAACTCCTTAGATAAGAAAATCATACCAGGCTAAAGCAAATTTGTTTTTTTTCTAACATTCTTCCACTCTCCAATCTTGTCCCTTAGATAGTCCCTGACACTGAGAGTTGTCACAGGGAACCCTTTCTAGGGTTGGGCAGACACCCTTCATCTCAGACTTGGGTAAGGATTTTAATGTTTGAAAAGAACTAACTCCTGGTCATAATATCCCCTTTACAGTTGCCCCAAGAATACTAGGTGACTTTTGCAACATGAACTCCTGGGAATCCTATGGCTCTTGATGCCCTGGAGTTGCCAAAGTAGGTTCTGGTTGCACACATCTCCCTCTGCAACTAGATTATGCCTAATTCTATTTTGCAATTTTGCAACCTATGGAAATCTTGCCTAGGATGGTGCTTTGTTCATAGTAGGTACCTAATAAATGCATGCTGAATTGAATTTTCCCAGGAGCAAACATATGGCATAGATGCCTAAAAAGTGAAAATCCTCTGTAACATATTGCGTTGCCACTTAAGGGGGGAAAAATCTTGTTAATGTTCATGGTGACAAGTTTATGTCCTGAAACATGAGATCTGATTAGCTTTTTTATTTTAACTCTCATAACTACTAGTTTTATTGCTGGTCATAAAATTATCCAGCTCATTTTGGAATTCAGCTGCGAAATGGAACACTTTGACCTCCTGTGATTATACCAGTTTCTGTGAACATATGACTTAATGGCAGGGGTTTTACTCAAACTAGGGTTTGGGAACCTTAGGAGGTTTTGTTGATGGAATCTCATAGGATCTCAGGGATGAGAATACTTCAGGTGCATTTGACAGCAGTACCAGCAAAAAGTAGAAGTTTTTTGTCAAGATACTATCTTGTTAGCTGGGATCTTGTAGTCCTAATGGCAAGATCATGGATTGAGTTTTTGTATGTCTGTTCCTCAACCTTGAGCTGCACCCCTAAACTATGGTCCACAGATACCCATTATTTACCAGGAACACAGGAGCACCAACTTGAAAGTTCATCAATAATTTATTTCATATATATGTTTTTAGCATGTAATAAGTGTTCTGAGATTATTTTGTAGATAAGAAACTAGCGGTAACACTCTAGGATTAAAAAAAAAGAAAGAAAAAGAAAAGTAGACACACAAGAACTTTTAAGGATTGTGGTAAGATTTGACACTGCTAAAACACTTTTATTGTCTAACTTGCTGCCTATCAGGTCTGTGGCCATTTTTTAAAATTATGGAAGTATAATTAACAAACACCTTAGTTTCAGGTGTACACTATAATTATTCAACAGTTCTACACATTTCTTAGTGCTCATCAAAATAAGTGTGCTATTAATCTCCTTTATTTTACCCATTCTCCCAATATATGGCCATTTTGGGAGAAAATCAAGCACTGGGAAGTATCTATAGCCTGGGTTGAGGTCAGCTGGCTTGATCAGAAGAAATAAAGAGCAACTGGAGTCTCTAGACTTAAGTCAATTCACTTTACTAGGCACTAGGACTCTAGGCTCCAGTAACCATAAAGTTGAGTCCAACCTACAGTTTAAAACAGATGTGTCAAGATACCTCATGAAATGGTGAGGGGATTTGCTTCCCATCTATGACTCCTGGCACTAAGATTGGGAAGATGGTGGCAAGTTATCCCAACAAGTAGTGAGAGCAAGCTGCCACCATCCCATACTAAGAATTACATAGAAGTTTCCTGTAAGATCAGGAAGCCTTGATTTTTAAAAAGGGTATATTAACAGGGGCTGGAAAAAAATCGGGTTGGGAAAGTAAGGACAGCCACAGTGCTAGAAGAATCGGGCAGGGTTCCACATTATCAAAGTTTTTTCACGGGTGAGGGAAGGGGGTAAAGAAAAAGTGACTCTTAAACATTTCTCTCTTCATACAAATAGGAATAATGGAGGATGCGCCACTGTCCTCCCTTAGAATCTGCTCAGATCTGCCCCAGATTTGCCAGCCAAGCTTACTCCACGATCCCGTGAATAAAGGAAAGGTATTCTTGACAGAAAGATGTAATGTGTGGCAGGATTACTGGGTTCAACCCCAGAGGCCACTTTTGTGAAAGCTTCTCTCTTAAGAATCTCCAAGGCTTTTTCCTGTCTAGGTCTTTCTGAACTTGCTGTAGCAAAAGAAGGGACAAAGAACTTCTGAAAGCAATACATGGAGATAATATGAAGGATGGTCAGAGTAAATAGCAACAATCCTGATGATTCCTACCTCTGCACCCCATCCCCGTGCCACACCAGTATGATTTTATTTGTTCCCTTGCATATCTATACCTTCAGCATTTTCCCCCTCAGAATACCAATTGCCCCAGCTGTGTGAAAAATGATATGGACATTAAACATTTTTTCCATCATTAAAGGTAATTATTTTCATTGTGTTCTGGTTTTGTATATCTTAATTTAGACATTCTTCATTCCTGCACTTTGTTCTTAGGAACATGAACAATCTCCGATAAATCACAACTCAGGATTACAGAGCATACACATGTGCACACATGCACACAGACACACACACACACACAGATCTGTTACCTTATTACTGCAAAGAGCGCTTTGTCATGCATACCTGTCTTTTACCACATTTTGCCAATTAGGCAGGATTCTCTGCCACATTTAGAGATAGAAGGGTTTAACTGATTTTTTTTTTTTTCTATGAGATGACCCCTCTCCCTGATATGATCCAGAAATGAAATAGAATGCAGATATTGTCAGGGGGTCCAGAGTCATGGAAGGGTCTGGGAGGTTTAAGAAGGTTGGGGCTTGTGCCCAAGACTATTGTGAGTTCCTAGGCCTTTAGGCATCAGTCCAGAGGACATATTCTTCATTGGATTGGCTTATACACATAAAGTCGTGTGGTGGAAGTTTTTCAGATTAGTTCACATTTTAAAAAAAAATGTCCACACTCTTCCTAAAGATATAACATGAATGTAAATCTCCAGTATGTAACTCTTGAGAATTATGCACATCCTGCTTACTTTTTTGCTGAATCTGTTAGATAAGATTGAGTGGGCTAAGGGCCCAGTTTCTTGCCTTATTCTAGTTGCAGTAAAGTGGTAGCTCATGGGAAAAAAAAAAAAAATGTTTGCTTGACATTGGTTGAATCTATGCATACTGACCAAACCGCCATTCTGGTGAAATGGTCCAAATGCAATGTCACGTGCTGGTCACATATCACTGATTCTGGGTTTCCTGTCTCCTAAATTCTTCTCCTTATCCTGTTCTATCTTTTTAAATTTCCAATAATTTCACAAATTTTTATCACAAAGTAGGCTTTGGATAGGCTAGGGTTTTTCTAAATACACTACAGTGGATTTTTTTTCAGATTTCCTTAGGGATTTAATCTTTTCAGACTTCCTAGGTACAGAACAAAAAGAGACAAGAAGCTTGAACAGAAAGGTTGTACAGCACACAAAAGATTTTTGAACTATGAGCCAGGTCACCTCTCCTTTCAAACTTGGGGAAGGGCTGTAACCCTATCCTCCTCTTCTTTTACTTGCCTACTTCCCACTTTGCAGCATGCAGGAGACCTCCTTGTTTTATTAAGTTCTTCAGGATTTCTCCTGCTGGTTGAAAAAAACCCATATCAAAAGGACATTTTCTAATAGAACTCTGGATTGTTTATAGCAGATAAAAGACTGTAGGCCTATATTTACTAATATAAAAGTATGCCTTATGGAGAACCATAATTTACATGGAGGGAGAAGAACATAAGGCAAACCAGCCTATGTTGTCATAAAGTTTATTTTTTCCTGATTATCTCCCTTTATCTTTGTAAAGTAGAAAACTGAGCTCCTTTTATAACAAGTAGATATTTTCTTTAAACTTCCTTTTTTTCTCCCCACAGGAAACACTAAGAATAATAATAAGAGAAAGAGAGAGAGAAAATTGAAATAATTTCTACCCACCTATATTTAATCAGGATATGCTAGGTGTTATGGCTTAACACAACAAAGACTAATTTCTTCTTCACAGGAAAATCTCTAAAATAACAAGTTTACTTGAAGTAAGGGCGTCAACCATCCTACAGCTGCACCATCTGGAATACTTAGCCTCCTTGATCACAAAACAAGGAAGAAAGTGTCAGAGGTCTCACCCTGGCAATTCAATGCCATGGCCTGCAAGTGACCCAGACCACTTCTGCTAACAGCCCTTAGCAGAAATTGGCCACATGAGCCAGATTAAATGGAAGGACAGGCAGGTTTGTTTACTCTTCATATTTGCCCAGAAAGAGGTGTAAAAGCTGTATAGATGAGCGTTCCACTTCCACACTACCCACTTCTGTTTTCCCCAAACCCCTTTTTCCATACCCAAACTTATCTTAGCTAGGAAGGAGATCAGGGAAGAGATACGGAGATATTGTTAGGAGGAGATGTTTGGGGTGATCTTGAGCAATTTTTACTAGCTCGGAAGTGGAATGGAGTTAACATCATCAAAAGTACTAAAACCTTATTTCTGCTCTCTTTCCATTTCATTTCCCTGTACACATGTGCCTCACACTCTTAACCTATAAGGCGAGCTATTAAATATGTTTTATAGAACCACAAGATTAATAGCATTTGCATATAAGAAATATTGTTTAATATTTGTATTTTAATATGTAATATGTGATCCTCAATTGTTTCTTGAATAATTATTATAATCACTACTAGTTTTATTACTACTACTACTAAAACTACTATTGCTATTAGTTAATATTTATTAATAACTTACTGAGATAAGAAATTTACATATGTATAATTTTCAAAACAATCTATGTCATATGTGCTATTTCATATACTTCATGAGTATTTTATTGTACTCTATTTTATGGTAAAGAAATTGAACAAAGAAATTATATAACTTGTCAGATCTATCTGACTCCAAGGTCCATGCTATTAACCACCATAGGGAATAGAGAAAGTAAAGGAGAATTTATCTTCATGCCATCATGTGTAATGAGCTTTAATGCCCAAGATCCTAGGGTAGCTGTGTCAATTGACGAAGATGTTTTGCACAAACTTAACATGCTGTGAGGATTCAAATGTTTAATGCCACCGACATCTAACATTATCTTTGTAAGTGGGATGGAGATGGATCTTAAATATTGGCTTGAATTTGGAGCTATTTTCTAAATCTCAAAGCAACTTATTTTCTGAATCTCGAAGACATCTGCAAATACTTTACTATCATCATATATTTCCACAGACAACAAGGCACTTCACTAATTTAGGTGTAAACTCCAATAATTCATAGAAGTTCAAGGAGACTAAGCCCCATTTCTTTTGCCAAATCGGTTGATGGTTTGCACTCTTGATTAAATGTGTATGCAGGGGTGTCTGAGTGGCTCTGTTAAGCATTTGACTCTTGATTTCAGCTCAGGTCATGATCTCAGGGTTGTGAGGTGGAGCCCCACATCAGGCTCCACATCGGGCTCTGCGCTGGACATGGAGCCTGCTTAAGATTCTCTCCCTCTGGGGCGCCTGGGTGGCTCAGTTGGTTAAGCGACTGCCTTCAGCTCAGGTCATGATCCTGGAGTCCCTGGATCGAGTCCTGCATCGGGTTCCCTGCTCAGCAGGGAGTCTGCTTCTCCCTCTGACCCTCCCCCCTCTCATGTGCTCTCTCTCTCATTCTCTCTCCATCAAATAAATAAATAAAATCTTTAAAAAAAAAAAAAAAAGATTCTCTCCCTCTGCTCCACCCCTCTCCTCTTTCTCTTTTCCTCTCTAAAAAGAAAAACAAAAACAAACAAAAAAATGTATGTATGTGTGTATATATAAATTTTTTTATTTTGAAAAAAGATCTTTTAAATCACATCTTACTCATGAAGTATATGAAATAGCACATATGACTTGCAAGACACACTCATGTTCTGGAAATTAGGAAATATATGTAGCTTGTTCACTATTAATCTCTAGAATTTAGCAAACCAATTTGTTGTCATTATTTAATATTATGCTATATTTTTAGCAAATTTGTTATAAAACCCAAAGGCATTAGTCATTTACTATTAAGCTAGACTTGATGGAATGCATAACCTCTTTTACCTTTCCACTGATCTTTCCCTGAACATTCTCTAATTATGCTCACTTTCCTACATTATTTGCTTAAAATAAACATGTATAACTATCTATAAATGATTATGAAATGTAGCTCTAAAGAATAAGCATTGAGAGGCGCCTGGGTGGCTCAGTCGTTAAGTGTCTGCCTTCAGCTCAGGTCATGATCCCAGGGTCCTGGGATCGAGCCCTGCGTCAGGCTCCCTGCTCAGTGGAAAGCCTGCTTCTCTCTCTCCCACTCCCCCTGCTTGTATTCCCTCTCTCACTGTGTCTCTCTCTGTCAAATAAAAAAATAAAATCTTTTAAAAAAAAGAATAATCATTGAAGTGAGGCAGACTATAGATACTTATACTCAACTTTTTTTCAGAGATTTGAAATAATTTCTGAAACTTACATATCATACTTACTACCATAGAAACAGATAACAAGAATTAACAAAGGGGAAAAATAAAGAAAATAGAAGATAAGATTGGGGCAAATGTTACCCCAAAATGCATATTTAATATCTTTAAACACGAGTCATTAGTTTGACTGTGAGCTTCCTAATAGCCAGAACAAAGTGAAAAATACTACCATTTTTTTTAAAGTTTTTATTTATTTACTTGAGAGAGAGAGAATGAGATAGAGAGAGCATGA